GGTCCATTGGTGTCTGAGTTTGGATTTCATGCTTTCAGCAACAGAAACAACTGTGCTTCCTTGAAGCATAAACGGAATTTATCAGCTGACACGATAGGTCACAGAATTCCCAGAAAACATTGATTGAAGAACTGGATTGAGACTAAGGAAAATCCTGGGGATCCAGGAAGGAGAACTAATGGGCAGACTCATCAGGGAACCCTATGCACTCTGCCCACAAGTGACATTTTATGAAAAGAGCATTTGAGTGCCTAGCTTAGGTCATACGCTCATCCCTTGCACAGAGGAGGCAGGAGGGTGTGATTGACAGCCTCCACCAGGACCGGATCCATTGAGGGTGTGGGAGTCCAGTAATCAGGGGAAGGGAGAGTGGAGCTAGGCAGGCCAAAGCAATGCGTGATCAACATGCAGCATTATAGAAAACCTTTAGAGAAGGCAATGGACTCTTCCCAGTAAGTGTCAATTCTTTTTCTGGGATGCCCGGCTCTGACCAAGGGCTATGGGCAGAGCAAGAGCCTGGAGAGCCTGGGTCTCAAGGAGCCCATGCTATGTCACAGCTGCTTAATCACTGGTACTCCCTTCAGCAGAAGTGAGGCATCTGTCACCAGCTGGATAACGGCCTTGCACACATCCTTGTCCATAGAGCCAAAGTGAGAAATGACTGAGAGATGTCACCAGACCTGGACGAACAGACCAACATTGTTTCTGAACTGGAGACGTGGACTGTACCTCACACTCAGCCACCTTTCGGTAGCATGAAACATTTAGCTGCGGGGAGTCAGTAAATGCCTGTTGGTCTGAAGGAATTTAGCTCCTTTCTTTAGGAGTTCTAGGTAGAAGTTTGGGAGTCTGGGCTCTCAGACCCCTCTGGCCCCTCGCTGTGTCACAGTTTCCTTAACACTAAGGTAGAGGCAGACTTTGTCATTCCTCTCATCCTGACCTCAAGAGGCAGTGTGAGAATAAAGCCATATGTACACAAAAGCACTTTGGAAGGTAAAGAACGTAATAAAAATGCTTTTCTCATCTCTGCCCTTGACCAAACAAACGAACGAACAAAAAAGATGCTTGTAATCCAAGCCGTCTTCTACCATTTCTTATAAATGCTTGAATTCTGGAATGGATTTTTTTTTAAGATCATCTACAAAGAAACTAGTTATGCTGTTTACCTAGTTGTCATGACAAGTTGAGAGCTGGTAATATCGGAGTTAATACAAATTATTCCTCAATAAAGGCCCATTTTTGCTACCCAAGGTTCCCAACCTCTTAGTGTTAGTTTGTTTTACTATTTTTTTCACTATGAACACATCCTAATCACATTTACAAAAGCAAACAAACGAAAACAAAAACAAAAAAAACCACCTAGAAAACAGTCAAGTTAAAACCAATCACCCCCACTTCAGCTTTCTTAACAGTCGATATTTTGATGTATTCTTTTCCCAAATTTGAAGCATCCTTTTATTTATTTTTCATTAATGTTTTTTATTTATTTCTGAGAAAGTGGGAGAGAGACAGCATGAGCAGGGGAGGGTCAGAGAAAGAGAGGGAGATACAGAATCTGAAACAGGCTCCAGGCTCTGAGCTGGCAGTCAGCACAGAGCCTGATGCGGGGCTCGAACCCATGAACCGTGAGATCATGACTTGAGCTGAAGTTGGACGCTTAACCAACTGAGCCACCCATGCGCCCCTTGAAGCATCTTTTTAAAGATGTTATAATCCTAGAGTACAAACAGTAGAATCATAGTCTTCGTTAATTTTGTAATAAGAAGTATTTTTCCATGTCTTTGTAAAACCATCCGTTCCACTGAGCTAACTGGTCAGACCTCTAGTAGAAGTAAAGAAAATTTTCTAAAGAGAGTGACTGCCTTTGCCATTGAATGGACGCTTCACAGCTGTCCAGAAAGGAAAGTGAGGGAACTGAGTGTTTAGGGGTGCTGCCTCGTGTGTCCCTGGGAGCCTGCTCCAGCCAGTGCTCTTCCTGTGCCTGGTTTTATTACAGTCACTGTGACAGACAAGGGTAGCTGAAAGCTGCCTTCATTTCATCTCCTCCTCTGTGTCTTTAGATCTTGTTGCTTAAAATACTAGCAAGCCTCGGGGAGAAGCTTGCCCCAGACTGTCCCAGGGTTAGCCTGAAAGCCCAGCATCCTGGGAAACGCCTCAGGCCAGGGCAAACCCTGGGCTGTTGGTCACCCTAGGGGAAGAGGTGGGACAAATGTGTTCCATCCCTCACATCTGGCCAACTAGTCAGGGCTTAAGCTTTGTTCTGGAACTTCTCTGACTACCAGGACAAAGGTGGCCAACGTGTGCCCTTGGGCTTCAGGACCACCCACTGTTCTCTCCACCCCACCCCCATCCCCACTCCCCAGCTTCTTGGCTTACTGTCATTGGATCCTGGGATATCTCTCCCACTCACCCAGCCCTAAAGGCAACTGAGATATTCCTGTCAGGGCTGATGAGAGTAAATGTGACATTTAGATAAAAATAAAAGCTCTGGAATTCTTATATTTAATGCTGGCAGCCTTAAATGCCAGCTTTGAAATCACTCCGTTTCATCATTAATCTGAGGTTTTTTTTTTTTGCATTTGACTTGTGTGCCCTTTAGAACTTAAAAATGTTTTCCTTGCTTTAAAAAGAAGATTTCCATTGCCCCCCCCACCCCAAAGTAGGCATTCTACCCTTCACATGCACAAAATTGGGCAGTTCAGCCCTTCACTGCCTCGTTCCAGAGTTAGTGCTCGTGTCTGCAAGGAGCTTTGAATAACAAGGGTGTACAGCTCAGGGATTGGGCTTCATCCCAATTCAGTCCAACAAACCTGTGCTCTAATGCTGTACCCATAAGCCTGTTTTTGCTGTCGCCTGTGGATTTGCACTCTGAAAGATAAAACATTCGAATGGATTTCAAAATATACCGATGATAGTGAGGTAGCTACAAGAGACCCTCAGAGAGATGCAAACTTCATTTGGTAGCCACGGAGTAGAAAACAGCTAGACACGCTTGTGTATTTGCTAGTTAATCAGCATCTTTTCCTTGAATTCTGGAAGAGGAATCACTTTATAGATAATTGTCTTTGTTAATCAGGCCTTCCTAGGGTGGCGGAGTATTTAAGCCTTGTTCGCTGGTACAGATCGCATGTAATTGTTTCCATATTGTTGGCAAAACGGCTGTAGGAGTTTTGCATGCACCGTAAGTACCCAAGGTCTTTGAGGCAATTTCTTTGTATACACAAAGCAAATTTTTATGGCGATAGTTGAGTTGAGTTTTTTAAAGAGGCTTTAAATCGATCAGGAGTTTTCCCTTTGGGTTTCTGCTTAGGAGTGCGGAGGTGGTGATGGTGACGGAGTACATGAAAGACCTCATGCTCCGGCCGCAGAGGCCCAGGGCTCTTTCATCTTAGGCTGAATCCTGGCCCACTGCTGCTTGAGGATTTGGAGTGTGTAAAAGTCCTGGGCTGTTTAATTATGTGCAAGCCTTTTAAGAAGCGTATACCAGGAAGGCAGAGATGGAAACAAATGCAGTGAAACTTTTTATATCCAGTTTGAGGATTCAACCAAAGGTCTTCACTTGAGCAAAACCAGAACTTCCAAGCAGATCAAAGGTATCGTGGAGTTGAGGAAAACCTCTTTGGTGGGAGTTGAATGACAATGCCTTATGACAATTAAGATCATGTGAGTTGCCCAAAAATAACCTAAGAAGCATGGAAAACAAAGGAGAAAATTACCCCGATTTGTACCACCTAAATTAACCAACAGTATTCATTTTCTTTAAAGTTGCATTCCATATATGTAAATACGTATACCTATCTTATACATTCATAATTGTGAAATGTATTTGACTTTCAGCTTTCATACTTAACAGTGTGTGATAAGTATTGCTTACCACATTGCCTCGTGGTTCAGTGAAACGTTTTAAATGGTTTTGCACTATCCTATAGAATTTCTGTATCCTAGTTTATGTAACCAGTCACTATCGAAATTTTAGACTGTGTTCAAGTTTTTCATTATAAGACTTGATAAATATGGCGCAATAGATACGTACGTGTATGTGTGTGTGTGTGTGTGTGTGTGTGTGTGTGTCGCTGTTTATTTGGGCTTATTTTCATAGAATTCATTCCACAAACTGGGGTTACAGGGACAGCAAGCCTCAACATGTTAATATCTTTTTGTTAAAAATGGATCATTGCTTTCCTTAAGTGTGGTACCATTTTTACACTTCCTCAGTACTGGGTAGTATCTGAATTCTTTTTCAAGCCAACTGAATATTGGTTTTGGAGAAAAGAGAAGACCTTGCTTCAATGTCGTTTCTCCTATACTATCCACCAACTTAGCACACACACAAAAAAATGTATTCTGGGAAGAAAAGACATTCCGCATTGTTGACAAGTGGCTATCATGTTTAAGAAAAGGAAGTCTTAGAAGTGGCATGGCAAACATATTTGCCTCCAACATGTAACAAACCTGAGACACCTGCATCTATCTGTCCGCCTCAAAAACTTATAGTTGCCACTGTAAAGTCAATGTCAGAGGGGAGAACAATATGGATTCGCAGCTCCGGAGAGAATGCCCAGTTTCCCAGCAGTGGCTGAAACCTGAGTGAATAAAATATGGTTTCACGAAAATCCAATGATGTAACGTTCCTCTGTTCCACTAAAATGTACCTACACTCTCTTCTCTAACATAGCTGTACATCTAAGTACTGTCTCTGGATAATACAGCACAAATGTGTTTGTAACTGAGAGAAGCCTTTATGCAGATCCTAGGACATTTCAAACTTTAGGAAGAATTGCAGTGGCTGAGACCAGGCTTGAGTTTATTTCAGGTTGTTGGGGTGTGTGGCCAACTGGAAGAAAATGACCCCACTCCCCTGCCGAACTGGCCTCTCTGAGCACGGTATCAGAAAAGCTCACATTACCTTTCCCCTGCTGTTCCCACTATCTATACCTAGATAGATTCGCTGGCTTTGCCTGCTGAATCCCGCATTTGGCCCCGGCTTCATTTCATTTCAGGTTCTGATCTACAATGGCCAACTGGACATCATTGTGGCGGCCTCCCTGACAGAGCACTCTTTGATGGCCATGAAGTGGAAAGGATCCCAGAAATACAAGCAGGCAGAAAGAAAAGTTTGGAAGATCTTTAAATCTGATAACGAAGTGGCTGGCTATGTGCGGCAAGTGGGTGACTTCTACCAGGTATGGAAACACTTTGGGACTTGTAAGCTGTGGGGAATGGGATGGGGGGATTGGCATTAAAGCCTGAGAACCAATAAGGCACGGCTGACCCTACAGAGTTGCACAGTAGCCAAAATGTGTCTTTTGCAGCCCTACTTTCTACAGAACAGGGTGGTGTGGGTTCATTAAAGTCATAGTGCTTAATGAAAACAAGGTGAAACCTTAGATATTGTTCAAGAGACAAGGTGACACTCAAAAAGACAATACTCAGCCCCAAAAAGCAAATTGTTAATGAGAGAATTAGTCTATTTGGGAGCAAAGGAGAGCTTGAACAAACGACGTGAGTTAGATTCAGTGTAATACCTTCTGGCAATTCTGTGCTCACATTTGTGTCTCACGCATGGAGCCCCAGGACAAAATCTGTCTATCTGATGCCAATAGCGTGACCTCCACTTTAGAGGTCAGATGTTGCAGCTGGCCACGCCCATCCCTGTGCCTCTGGTTTGCAGGCCTCGGCTTTTTAAGGATCAGCAGGGCTTCTTTGGTGACTATGTGATGATTACAGTATTTACCTCCAGAAAGTTCTTGGAGAAATTAAGATTGTCCCCTGGTGAGCATTTGCTTAGTTAGTCAAGAGAAGAAATTTAAATCTTCTCAACTTGGCTTATTTTATTTATTTAATTAATTAATTAATTAATTTTTTTGAGAGAGAGAGACATCATGAGTGGGGGAGGGGCAGATACAGAGGGAAACTGAGAATCCAAAGTAGGCTCTACACTGTGAGCACTTGGAGCCCTATGCAGGGATCGAACTCACTCACGAAACTGATATCATGACCTGGGCCAAAATCAATAGCCGGATGCTTAATTGACTGAGCCACTCAGGTGCCCCTTTCCTCAGTTTTTTTATTTGAGGCAACACTGGGACCTCAATTCTGTAGTTTTGAATATTTGGAATTACAACTTTCCAACTGCTCGAGCTTTCCATTAGGCAAATCCATGCTCCAAATAAAAATTAATCTCAGAGGGGTGCCTGGGTGGCTTGGTCGGTTAAGCGTCCAACTTCGGCTCAGGTCATGATTTCATGGTTGGTGAATTCAAGCCCCACATCCAGCTCTGTGCTGACAGGTCGTTGTCTGCAGCTTGCTTCGGATTCTGTGTGTTTTTCTCTCTTTGCCTCTCCCCTGCTCATGATGTCTCTGTCTCTCTAAGTCTCAAAAATCATAAACATTTAAAAAAAGAAATTAATCTCAGAGCCATACTACCATAAAAGTACTTTGCTTTGGGATAGTAAATGAGTTTACAAAGAATTTCTTAAGGGTCACTGGGATATGATATGCATCACTCATTTGTGCTGGAAGGAATGATAGATGAAGTAGAAATCACTGGTAGCCTAATGTATAAAGGTGCTCTTCTTCCCCTGCCCCAGTCATTCTAGCCATTTAATAACATAAGAAATTTAAATGTCATGCAACGTGAACTACCTTGGACAAAGGAACAGTAGAGAGACCTATTTCTGGGCTCAGGTCAAGGGAAACTATGTTGGAAAATTTATAACATTATAGTTTCTAAATCGAGATAAATTATACCAAAGAATTAAACACCAGCATCATAGCAAACGAATGAGTCAGAGCAGAAACAGTTATGGCCGAATGCATGTGAGGTATGAATATGGGGTGGGGGGAGGATGAAGAGTGGAGGGTCTCTTGACCTGAGAGGGATCTGGAAGGAAGACGGTGAGTGCTCTGTCTGCCCTGTGTGCTCCGTAAACTAGAGCACAGGCAGTCTTGGATTGGGTGTTGACTTGGGAACCCCAATAACAGGTGAACTCTGAACACTGATTCCAAAAGATTAGAATTCCTGGACAAATGGAGGCTCGCCATGCAGAAAGTAATCTGGACTTCATGTTTAGTATTTATTTGTTTGTTTTTAAATAACAAGTTATACAGCAATTCGAATACTTTTTTTTAAAGAGAAAAGAAGAAGTCAACATTTCAACATCTGAAATTGTATTTTAACTGATGCCTATGTACACGATTTTACATAAATTTTACACAATTTAACAATGTTATGTAAGATTGATTCTGCTTTGTTTCTTTCTTAAACGTACTTATTGAGTTATAGTGTAATATAGAAAAATTTACAAATCACAATGAATTTTTTACAGAGTGAAGATACCCATATAAACATCATGTAGATAAAGAAATAGAATAGAGGAATGTCCCCCTGTGGTCATTATTCCCCCTTCTTCCCAGAGTATCCACTGTCCTGAGTTCTAATATCTGAGGTTAATTTGCCAGATTTTGAATTTTGACAAATGGACATATTCCATATATGCTCTTTTCTGTGTGGCATTCTTGCTTGACTTTATATTCATGGCATTTACTTATTCTCTTACATATAGCAGTTGCCACTTTATTTTCATTGTGGTACAGTATTCTAATATATATTTATATATAATATGTAATATGATATAAGATGATTATAAATAATACATATTTAATATAAGACTTTTCTATTCTCCTTTTACTTCTGTTTTTACTTCATTTATTTTGTTATTAAGTGCATATAAGTTTATAACTCTTATACTTTCCTGGCAAATTAAATCTTTTATTCTTATGGAATGTCCCTTTTTCTGTCTAGTGATGCTTCTTGCCCTAAAACCTAATTTGGTGATAGTAGGGTAACAATGTCTACTTCCTTTTGATTAATTATTGCATGGAATATCTGTTTCAACTCTTTGATTTTAATCTTTCTGATTGCTTAAATTTAAGATATATCTCTTATAAGTAGTATATAATTGGGTTTTGTTTTTCTTGAATGGAGCCTGACAATATTTTTTCAATGAAATAGTCCATTGACATTTAGTGTAATTACTGATACATTTGTGTTTAAATCTAATACTTTACTGTTTATTTCCTATTTGTCTTATTTGTATCTCAATGTTCTCTTCCTCTTTGTATCTTTTCATATTACTCAACTGTTTTTATATCATTTTCATTTTTTGCCCTATTCTATAAGCTTGTCAGGCTATATATTCTGTTAATCTTATTTAATGATTATACTCGAGGGTACAATATAAGTTGTAAACTTACTCAGTCCTAATATAAATTAGAATTTTACCATTTTCCAGATAAATGCAATAACCTTAGTTCTTCCTTGCCAGCTCTCCTTCCTTTTGTTATCATTAAAAACAATACAAAAAAGGGGGCACCTGGGTGGCTCAGTTGGTTACGCATCTGACTTGTGCTCAGGTCATGATCTCACAGTCAGTGGGTTTGAGCTCCATTTTGGGCTCTGTGCTGACAGCTCAGAGCCTGGAGCCTGCTTCAGATTCTGCGTCTCCCTTTCTCTGCCCCCTCCCTCACTCATATTCTGTCTCTCTCTCTCTCCCAAAAATAAATAAAACATGGAGCGCCTGGGTGGCTCAGTTGGTTAAGCATCCAACTTCGGCTCAGGTCATGATCTCACAGCTCATGGGTTCGAGCCCCATGTTGGTCTCTGTGCTGACAGCTCAGAGCCTGGAACGTGCTTTGGATTCTGTGTCTCCCTCTCTCTCTGCCCTTACCTTGCTCATGCTCTCTTTCTCTCAAAAATAAAATAAACATTAAAATTATTAAAATTAATTAATTAAAATTAAAAACAAAAAAATTCTATATATAATTCAAACACCACAAACTTTTTTGCATCATGCTACATAGCCAGTGTCACTGACTTACCCATAAATTTACCCATTCAATTGCTCCTTAGCCTTTCTTGCACTTCCATGCTTTGGACTAGAATTATTTTTCCTTGCTTTAAAAAAAATCCCTTTATTATTTATTTTAGTAAAGTGGTGTTGGCAACCATTTCTGGTTTTGGTTGTCTGAAAATGTCTTTCTGTCACTTTTAGTTGAGAAGTACATTTTTCATGGAATTGAATTTTAACTAGGCAGTTATTGTCTTTCCACACATAGAAGATATTATTCTGCGGTCCTCTGACATGCATCACTTCTGATCAGAAGCTGTCCATTTGACTGCTGCTCCTTTGGAAGCGGTTTCTTTCCCCACCTGACTACTTTTAGAATTTTCTCAGTTTCTGGTTTTCAAAAGATTTGACTATGTATATGTAGCTGTGATTTTATTTATTTATTTATTTTTAATTTTTTTTTATGTTTTATTTATTTCTAGGAGAGAGAGAGACAGCGTGAGCAGGGCAGGGTCAGAGAGAGAAGGAGTCACAGACCGAAAGAGGCTCCAGGCTCTGAGCTGGCAGTCAGCACAGAGCCCGACACGGGGCTTGAACCCACGAACCGCGAGATCATGACCTAAGCGAAAGTCGGACGCCCAACCGACTAAGCCACCCAGGCGCCCCTATGTAGCTGTGATTTTAAATTGTGTGTGTGTGTGTGTGTGTGTGTGTTTGTGTATCATATGGGTTTCTTAAGCTTTTTGAAACTCTGACTTGATATCTTTTTTCATATTTGTCATTAGCTCTTCAAATACTGCTTGTGCTCTGTTCTCACCTTCCTCTCCCGTGAAGACCTAATTATGTGAATGTTAGACCTTTTCATTTCATCCCATCTAGCTTTATTTCTGTTCTTTCTTCTTTCCATTCTTCAGTTTTGATATTTTCTCTTTTCTCTTCTAGTTTTTCATTCTTCTCGGATGCTGTTCTGAATATGTTGTTAGCCCATTTATTTTTTAATCACGGTAATTATTTTTTTATAGTTCTGGAATTTTAGTTTTCTTCTTTTTTATAGATCTCAACTCACATAATATCTATTCCTCACCTTGTTATCTGTTTTGGGGAACACATTAATCCATTTATTTTGGTGCTCATCTCTGATAACTCTTAGATTTATATCACCATTTAGCCTGATTCTATTTTTTCATGGTAACTGGATCCTTATTTCTGGTATGTCTACAAGTTTTCAACTGAAAGTCAGACCTTATGCGGGTAGAATTATAGAGATAGTTTCAGTTTGTGGCTGATGATACTTTCCATCAAAGAGATTTTACTCTGCTTCTGTCAGGCAGTTA